AAGAAAAAAACTGAGGATAAGCTGGAAATCTATATCTCTGTTTACATCCATCAGAGAATTGAAGTTGTAGAGAAAACTGCTACCCCAAAATGGAAGAGACAGGGACCAGCAGATGGCATGGAGGTTAAGGTGCTGGATTCCACATAGTTGGCTAGTCAGTTTGAGTCTCAGATCCAGTGACTTGAAAATCATGCCAGGCATATGTGCATGTGTGCCTCAAATCCCAAGAGAAGAGAGGAAAAGGGACTGTGGTGTGGCCTTTTCTCCTAAGTGGGTGATTTCTCACTTTCCTTCTCTGTCTCTGTCTATACAGAGTGCACATACCCTCTAGCAAAACATCTTTAAAAAAAAGAAAGAAAGACCAAGATGGCGGCCAGCAGGGGGCTGATGAAGGAGCTTGAAGAAATCCGCAAATGTGGAATGAAAAACTTCCGTAACATCCAGGTTGATGAAGCTAATTTATTGACTTGGCAAGGGCTTATTGTTCCTGACAACCCTCCATATGACAAGGGGGCCTTCAGAATCGAAATCAACTTTCCAGCAGAGTACCCATCCAAACCACCGAAGATCACCTTTAAAACAAAGATCTATCACCCGAACATCGATGAAAAGGGGCAGGTCTGTCTGCCAGTAATTAGTGCTGAAAACTGGAAGCCAGCCACCAAAACCGACCAAGTAATCCAGTCCCTCATAGCACTGGTGAACGACCCCCAGCCCAAGCACCCCCTCCGGGCTGACCTAGCTGAAGAATACTCTAAGGACCATAAAAAATTCTGTAAGAATGCTGAAGAGTTTACAAAGAAAGATGGGGAAAAGCAACCTATGGACTAAAATCTGCCATGATTGATCCCAGCAAGTGTGAGCAGAGACCCCGAGCAGTGCATCAGACACTCCGCAAAGCAGGACTCTGGAAAATTGACACGGGCCACCGCTTTGCGTTCACTTGTGGCAGTTACTAAGTTTCTACAGTTTTGTTAATCAAAAGTGGTCTAGGTAACCAGTAAAGAAAGGATTAAAAATTTAAGATGTTCTAAAAAAAGAAAAGAAAAATAAAAAAAGGGAGATACAGGCAGGCAGGCAAATATAAAGAACTGAAATTCACCAGAGCAGAAATACATGACCAGAACCTGCCACAGAATCTAGTATCGGTGTAGGAAAACCTAAGCCGTACCTAATAAACAGCTAGAGGCTCAGTGTGGACAATTTTAATGTTCCCCTTTATTCAGGATATAACAAATCCACAAAAGAGTGCATGCCGTCCTGTACACTCCAGGTATGTGCCATGATCCAGGCTGTCTGAGGCTAAGAACCTGTTAGGGGTGTGCCAATCTCTATCCCCTCATGGGAAAAAGTGAATAAATTTAAAAATAAAAAGATTACAAAAGGATATATGGTTTAAGTATCAGAACATGACTTTAAAATGTCACTATCTGGAGATATGTAGAAGATATAAACATTTGAGCTACATCACTATTACACTAAATGAAGAGTCAGTAAGATGTCTGGATTAAAAAAAAAACAGCATATAAAAAGTTTTAGTGTCCTATACACTAACATTAACTAGCTGGGAACTGTAATGAAAAACAAGGTTTCAGAATAGTGATAAAAATCCATAAAATAGATAGAACAACTGCAAAAAGAAATGTGCAAATTTATATAATGAAAATCTAAAACTTTACTTAAAAAATATGAAAAGACCTGGGCCAGGTGGTGGTATAGTGATAACTCAACTGGTCTCACATAGGAGTAATCCTGGGTTCGTGACCCGGTACCTCCCTGGACATGCCAGGTATACGCACACGCCTGTGATCCTGGCATGAGGAGCCTATTGGGAGTAGTCTCCATCCCTTGGAAAAAATAAACAAACTGAAAAAAAAAAAAAAGAAAAAAAGAATATGTAGCTATCAACATAAAGGAAGACAAATGCCATGTTTCTCAACAGGATTACTCAAAATTCTAAATGTGTCAATTCTCACCCTATTACTCTCCAAGGTCAATGCTATCCTAAACAAAACTACCTATGGAATTTTAAATATTATGAAATGTCTCATACAAAGAAAAAATATATAAAGAACAACATAATAAGGAAACACGGAACCATGAACCAGCTTTAAAAAATAAAACATTACTGGGACCAGCAGTTAGCATAATGGCTATGTCACTGGACTCCCACATAGTCCACCGTGGTTCGCGTCCCGAACCCGGTGGCTTAAAACTCACGCCAGGCGTGGGTGCATGTGTGCCCAAGATCCCGAGAGGAGAACGGAGGAGAAGGGATTGCGGCGTGGCCATCCCCACTGGGGGGTGATTTCTTGCTTTCTGTCTCTGTCTGTCTGTCTGTCAGGCGAGCACACACGCCCTATGGCAAAAACCTCTCCAAAAAAATAAATAAATAAATAAAACATTATCAATACAGTTGAAAAAGAAGATCTATAAAAAGATTTCCCCTATGAGAAAGCAAAACATACTAGGCAACTGCAAAATTGGCTATTTCAAAACCGTCTTTAGGGGACCAGTTGGTGGCATGGTGGTTAGGATGCTGGACACTGGACACTCCCATATGGCTGACCATGGTTCAAGTCCCAGACCTGGCAGCTCGCTTTCTCACTGTCTGTCTCTGTCTCTCTCTGGTCAAATTAAAATAAAATGAATGAATAAATAAAAATTTTTTAAAAACTGTCTTTAGATAGGTGGTTAGCATGAAAAAAAGGTAAGCAACTCTGAAATCACACAAATTGGTCAATAATCTATTCCACGTGGATCAAAGAGTTAAAGTCAAAATTATTAAAGTAATATAAACACATTTTAAAACATACCACAATGGTGACAGTGTTCTTAAGGAAAATTATTTTGAAAGACCCAATCAAATTAAAAAACAAGTTGACACACTGAGTGAAGCATCTACAAGGATAATAATCACAATCTGTTTGGAGCTGCATAGATACACAAAGTCAAATCACCTAATTAACAATGAAAAAGACAATAAGTAACTCTATGAAAGAGGAATGATAAGAATTTAAACTGCTCTAATAATCAGATAAGTACAAATTGAAAAGGTATATATGAATTTCAACCTCTGATATAAAATTAATTATGGTAAATCTTTATCACAAATACTATGAAGACTTTATAATGGTTTATACTTAAATATGAAATCATCTGAGATCATACTATTAAGCATAACTGACAACACTTATGTATAATATAAAATATTTACTTAAAAATAATAAAACTGGGCCAGTCCATGGAGTAGAGGTTAAGGTGGCTGAATCCCACATAGCTGACTGCACAGTTCAAGTCCCAGACTGGGCCACTTGAAAAATATGCCAAGTCTGTGTACATGTGTGTCCAAAATCCTGAAAGGAGCAATGAAGCAGAAAGGACTGTAGTGTGATAACCCTCCATGGGGAATGCTTTCTCACTTTCTCTCTCTCTGGCAAATGCACACACTCTCCAGCAAATAGTAAAAATAAATAAATAAATAGAAAAAATAATGAAGTCTATACAAATATGTACATATACATATTCACTGAGACATGTCTAGAGGAATATATACCTATCTCTTTTTAAAAGAAATTTCAGTGCCAGCCAGTGACGTGGTGGTAAAGGCAGCTAGAACCCACACGGCCAACTATGTGGTTCGAGTCCTGGACCAGTGGTTTGAAAAATATGCCAGGCATGTGCGCATACATGCCAAAAATCCCAAAAGAGAAATGGAGGAAAAGTGGCACGGCCATCCCACATGGCAACTTTTTCACTTCCCTCCACTCTACTCTCCTCCAGTGAGCACATGTACCCTGTACCAAATTAAAATTGATTAATTATTTAATTAATTAAGTAAAAAGCGGTTTCACTTGGGGATCGGTGAGACTGAGAAGTAAGTAAAAAGGATTAATTTTAAAATTTTATCTTCTATCATCTATGTGAATTATTACAAAAATTGTGTATTATGTGTGCAATTCTTTTTTTAATTTACCCTTATTCTTCCTTTTATGTTGTTACATATATACACAAAGCAGGATAAAATACAAATTCGTTTGTTCGGCCTGCCTGTCAACTAGGTACTATATATAGCTAAGACCGCTACGGTATTATATTTGATCCTAAATATGCTAAGTAAATATGGTCAAGACTCTTAAAGAATTCAAAATATGGTGAGAAAGACTGCAGAAGAGTTACTATGCATCAGGTTCTATGCTACAACAGAAAAACGACCTAGTGAGCTGTGGGAATACAGACGAGACATTATCTAAACCAGACTGAGGAAGACTTCAGAGGTGAAATCTGTTACCACCTTGAAAGGTAATAACATGGAGGTTGGTGAGCAGAATTTTGGTTGAGGTAACAATATGTGCACAGGTTAGAAGTCCGTTAAGACCACCTGTGAGATTTTAGACAAAAATCGGAACCTTTTGGGGGGCCAACATGTGGTGTGGTGGTTGGGGCGCTGGACTATGACAAGGCCGACCATGGTTTGAGTTCAGGACCTGGCAGCTTGCTTTTTCTCTTTCTGTCTCTCTCTGGTGAGCACATATGCCCTATAGCAAATTTAAAAATAATAACTAATATAATTAAATAAATTATTCTTTAAAAAAGATAGAACCTCTTTCAACTTACATAAAAAACAAAAGCAAACAAACAAAAAACTAATAATAATCCTCATAGGACTGCTGTGAGGAAAATGAGACAGTGAATCAAAAAGAACAGGAGAGCAGTCTGACTGATACATCATCTTACACTCGCTGGTTTCCAAAACTGACTCAGCTGCTTTACCTCACTTTTTGTCTCCTCCTCTCACTGTTCCTCCAGAGGCTATTTGGTCAATGAATACAATCTTCTCAGTCACCAACAATCATCTAAGAGAGTTCTAGACACACAGCATTTACTCAAAAAAATGTCTGAGACCCGCCTGCAATTACGGCTCGGGTCCTGAGCTCAGCTGGAGGACAGTGAACGTCACCGAGCACCCCGCCCGCCGTGTACACAGGGTTCATACTTACAGGCTGAGGCTGTTCTGCAATACAGCAGTTGAAACACAACCAGAATTCACTCATGCTTACAGTCTGAGGTATAAATGAGCACCAGGGAAGGTTCCAAATCTCAGCTCTGAGTTCCAGGAAGCTCGCTCCTCAGTATGATGAATGTCCAATAATGCCCAAATGATACTTTCACTATTTCACTGTGATTTTCTTCCTGGAAGTCAAGTATCTTATACAGTCAACTTGATAGAGAAAAAGATCGTTTCCTTTCTTTGCTTCTGATGCTACAGAGTGTCCTTTCTGAACCACCAAGAAGGTACAAAGCTTGTTGTCTTTGCTCAGGGCCTATAACAAGTCTAGGGAAAAAAGAAAAAGTGAAAGACAATAAATTAGCTTAATTATCCTCAGAAGCTTTTATTTCTTTTTTTTTTATTTATTTTTTTAATATTTTTTTTTTTTGGAGAGGTTTTTTCGCTATAGGGCGCGTGCGCTCGCCAGACAGACAGAGAGAGACATAGAGACAGAAAGCGAGAAATCACCCCCCAGGGGGGATGGTCACGCCGCAATCCCTTCTCCTCCATTCTCCTCTCGGGATCTTGGGCACGCATGCACACGCGCCCGGCGTGAGTTTTAAGCCACCGGGTCCGGGACGTGAACCGCGGTCGACTACGTGGGAGTCCAGCGACATAGCCATTACGCTAACTGCTGGTTCCCAGAAGCTTTTATTTCTTAAATCTGTGATAAAATTAAGAGTATTCCCAAAAAAAAATTTAAAAAAAAATCAAGATTTTAACAAACTGATACCCATTCAACAAATGAGAGCAATGAAAGTTGACAGAAGTTTTTGCCTTTATGAACATTCTATTTTTATGACTATAAAAGCATTAATTATTATTTAAATATGATTATCTCCTTTTAAAATGACTAGAACATTAGGATTGTCATACAAAATTTCCTAGTTCCAAGAGAAAATACTCACTATTTTCACTTCCTTTATTCTTTTTTTAAAATTTGACTTTATTATTATTTTAAAGAATTATTTTATTTAACTTTATTTATGTATTTATTTACTTTAATTTGACCAGAGAGGAACAGAGAGAGAGAGAGAGAATGAGAAAGCAAGCCGCCAGGTCTGGGACTTGAACCATGTTTGGCCATGTGGGAGTCCAGCGCCCTTAGCTACCATATCACCTGCAGGCCCCCAGTTATTATTTCAAAATTTGTTATAGGTCACAAGCACTCACCAAAGAGAGGCAGTGAGAGAAAGACAGAGAAGGAAAGAAAGAAAGAAAGCCACCAGGTATAGGACTCAAACCACAATCAGCCATGTGGGAGTCCAGCACCTTAACCACCATGCCACCTGCCAGCCCTTATTCTTTCTTTTTTTAAATTTCCATTGAGCACATGCACTCACCAGAAAGACAGAAAGAGGAGGGAGAAAGCACCCTCCAGCAAGACGTGGTCATGCTACGGTCTGTTCTCCATTTCCCCATCCTGTTTGGGTTTCAGGCATGTATGCACACACACGCCCAGCATGTTTTTCAAGCTGTTGGGCTGGTATTAAAACTCTGACAGGGCATGTGGGGTCTGGCTCCCTTACTATGCTGAGTGGCCAGCCTGAGCCCATTATTCTCATAGACAACCCAGATAGTAAATGCATGTAATCAACTCTGAGAAGATAATCAAAACTATATTGCTCTCCCCTCATCCACTGAAATTAGATAGGGTTAAGTTAGGTTTTCTTTGTGAATCAAGACATTGATTCCTACCACCACCACCACCACCAGAAATAGTTAAATGTTAGTTAAAATACTGTATATTCTTCCATGGCAAACCAAGCACAGTATATCAAAGAGAATCCTTGTTAGGCAACTTTCTATCTGGAGTTGCACCAACAGTAAACTATTTTCTTTCCCACTGCCAACCTGTGGAGTTTAAGAATGTCTACTGTGCAGTAGTTAAGTGTTGTGGATTAGGAGCTAGATCCTACATAGCCAACCATGGTTTGAACCCCAGCTCAGGTGGCTTGAAAAACACACTGGGTTCATGTGTAGACATGCCCAAAATCCTGAAGGAAAAGAGAAACGGAGAAAAAAGGATTGCAGAGTTACCATGCAGGGCTGGGGTTACTTTCTCTCTCTCTGTCTCTCTGACCAGTGTATGTACCCTCTGGCAACAACAACAAAAGTAAAAAAAAACAACAAAAAGCATGTCCTTGGTCGACCGTGCTCCATACTTCATGTAGAAGTGAGTTCTAACATAGTAATGCCGTCAAGCAGAGACAAAAGAGGGGAAGTCCAGAAGACACGAATCTCTGGCCCAGCCCTCCCGAAGACCAGTTTCCCCGGCCATGCATTCCCTCTTTAGCCTACAGCTATGTTAAAATGGCTGTATAACACCTGCAGCCTGCTACAACAGTCAAGTGAAGATGTCTTGGACAGTTAGATGTAGAGATCTGAAGCCTAGGAAAAGCCTTTAAATCATAGGCAGATTATGACTGAAGCGATGAATAACAATCTCTAGGGAAAACAATACCTCTGAGAAATAGCAGCACTTAAATGATGGGTAGAGAAACAGGAGTCTCCAAGAGGTCTGAGTGTTAATCAGAATGAGAGAGAGGAGGAAAACCAGTTAAGCATGGTGCCACTGGCGCCTACTTCAAGGAGGAAGTAACAGTGTTAACTGTCACCAAGAGAGCAAAGACTGAGACCGGCCTAGCAGAGTGGACAACAGATACTTGGGGGTCCTGGCTATAGCCTTTTAGTGAAGCAGGGAAGACGGAAATCAGATTACAGAGAGAGACACAGAGAGAGAGAGAGAATGAAAAAGCAAGCCACCAGGTCTGGGACTTGAACCGTGGTAGGCCACGTGGGGGGGAGTGTACAGCATCTTAACCACCACACCACCTGCTGGTCCCTATATCAAGTATAATTAAGTTCCCCCTTCTAGTTTCTCTAAAACCATCACTTTAAACCTGGTAAGGCAGGAATTTCAGTTATTTTTATAAAGTGAGGTTAAATGTACATATACTCAATGTCACAGATATGGGTAGTAATAAGGCATGAATTCTGGACTCTGATTCTACAGAGTCTAGAGGACAAGTCCACTGACATACTACAGAAAAATAGCATGTTTAAACGTCAAACATAGTCAGTCCAGCAGGTGGAGTGGTGGTTAAGGCATGGGACCCTCCCACACAGCCAACCACAATTCGAGTCATGGATCCGGTGGCTTGCTTTCTCACTTTCTCTTTCTTTCTGGTCAAATTTTAAAAATGAATGAACAAACAAATTAAGTAAATAATTCTTAAAAAAAAAAAAGTCAAACAATGGAAGAAAGCATAATCCATACAGAATGGTCACATGGGCTGCAATCAATTCCCCTTCCTCCATTTCTCTTTCCTTTCGGGATTTTGAGCACATACACCAGTGCACCCAGAGTGTTTTTCAAATCCCACCAGATACAGGACTCAAACTGCACAGCTGACCATGTGGGATCTAGGCACCTTAACCACAAGTCAGCCCTGTAGTACTTATTTTTAGCAAAACTGAACATTCCTTATCTCATCTAACTTCTAAACCAAGTAGTAGCAGCTCTCTACCACTAAACTGGATAAATATGAGGAAGTTTTCCAAAATTTCATGGAAAAGATGTACTGTGAAAAAATTATGCACAGATTTCAAAATCTTTTATGCCAAAATAAGCTCATAATTCCATTTTCCCACAAAGTTTTTGAAGTCCCCTCAAACTGTGAAATTTCACAAGCTCAGAAGAACAATATATTTATTTATATTCTTTCTCCAATCTTCTTATAGCAAGAATGTAAGAGTAAATGGTTAAATTCACTATCATAGGGGCCAATCATGGGGCCAGCCCAGTGGCATGATGGCTAAGGTAGGCTGGATCCTACATGGCTGGCACCACGGCTTGAGATCAGGACCCAACATCCTCGAAAACAAGCCAGGCACATGTGCATGCATGCCCAAAATCCCGAGCTCAGAGGAAAAGAAATTGTGGTGTGGCCATTCCCTTGGAGGGGGGGGGGTTCCTCACTTTCTCTCTCTCTCTGGTGAGCACACACATCCTACAGCAATCTAAAAAAACTTTAAATAAATAATTCACTATATGTTATTTTAGTGTTGCTATTTAACAAGTTTAACTTCACCCTGGATCAAGGATCCTGGTAAAGCTAGTCAACTTCTTTCTGTTTATACATTAAATTACTGGGTGACCAGCAGGTGGCGTGGTAAAGATGCTGAACTCCCACATGGCCGATTGTAGTCTGAGTCCCAGACCTTGTGGCTTGCATTCTCTCTTTCACTCTCTCTCTCTCTCTCTCTCTCTCTCTCTCTCTCTCTCTCATCAAATTTTAATAATAATAACCAGCAGGTGGCATGGTGGTTAAGGCACTAGACACTCCCACATGGCTAACCACGGTTTGAGTCCTGGACATGGTGGCTTGCTTTCTCACTTTCCTTCTCTCTCTGTGTGTCACTCTCTGGTCAAATTAAAATAAAATAATGAATAAATTAAATAAATAAATAGTTTTTAAAAGAGGAGTGAAAAAAATAAACTAAAGCTTTATTGGGTTGCCGCTGGGCTGAAACCCCTGAGTGAAAATGCTGGGGGGGGGGGGTCGTCCTCAAAAAGTTCATGGTAATACACATTAGATTCTAAACTTTTTGCACCAAAATAAATTGCTCCTTTAATTCTGTTTTTCCACAAACTTTTTGAAGTACCTTGTATTAACTTTACATTGGAAGGTCTGTGTGTGTGCATGTGTGTGTGTATATATTTATTTTTTACAATTTTTAAAAAATAAATTTATTTATTTACTCATTCATTCAAATTTTGACCAGAGAGAGCAGTCAAGTGAGAAAGCAAGCTGCCAGGTCTAGGTCTTGAACCACAGATGGCCATGTGAGAGTCCAGCACCCTTAACCACCACACCACCCCAGAAGGTATATATTTTTTAACCTCCTTTTTTAACTAAGTGTACCTTCTGTTTAATACTTAAAATGTTTAAAAGTCTTCATACTTTATATTTCATAATATTTTATCACCCTCACATTTATCCCAAATTCAACTTTTCTTCTCATTTAAATATATTTTGTGAACTTAACATTTTCCTATTCTCATGGACTTCACATGACATTCATGATACTTCCTCTTAATATTTAGTTCAATAATGACCATTTAAAGTACAATAATTTATGCTTCTGTGTACTTCCACTTAGATAACAGACCTGCTAATGTGTATTTTCAAGCCAAAGGAATGTTTGCTATACCATGGGTTTTTATTTATTAAGTAAATATCTAGGTCTTAAAATGCTTGAGACATGTCTTAAAATGAAAT